GACAGCCCAGGCGTTGTCAATTACGTTTTTGCACTGTCCAGTCATTTAAACACGGGTTTTTTAGAAAGAACTAGATGCAAAAATACTCCGGGACAAAAAAATAATCTATGACCAAAAAATGTGGAAAACTGTGGATCGTTAGAACCAAAAGTACTAACAGATACTATAAAAAAAAGAGTACTCAGAAGTAGTGACAACAAATTACTTTAGAAACAAAAACGATAATTTAATCGAATACTTTGACTAAAAGAAACTCAATTAGAGTGAATAACAGTAGTTTTGATACGTATAAACGATCAAAACAATAGAATTTACTCAGCGAGGAAAAATACCACTGTCCTTTTTGAATAGCGCGCTTCTTGTTATGGACAAAGAGCCAATACCTGTGTTCGTCCCTTTCTAGTAATCCTCTATTTGTGTCTGTTCTTTATTTGAACAGTACAGGCGAAGATATGGATGATACTTCCAGTAATAGGATCCAAACGTTGATGGCTCCTAGTGAGAAGGTGTTTGATACAGGTATATTTGTTTATCCACATATTATGTATACCAGTTTATTCTGGTCCGGTTAAAAAAAAAACACATCAGCTCAAAAGTCATTCCCTAGTATTCTATACATAAAGTTAGATAGCATGCTTATCTGCGGTAAGACAGTAAAGAGATCTAATTCTCGATCATCCATATGTATGGCTAGTTCTAAAATTCTGAGATTTTATTGATTATTGCCTTGAGTATAACAAGTGTATTCTCTTTGAAAAATTTTGGCTTATAGAAACAGCAGCTATCACGTCAAAGAGTAGTCAACTGGTCATTTGTAAAGAGGAAGAGTTCAGAGACATGAAATAAATGTTTCGCGCCGTTAGGCAATCCTCTTTCCACTAGTAGAAGAAACAAGACAAGTAATTAATGTTTTTATATAGCTCATAGAACAATCGCAGTAAATCCGTAAGTTACCTTTTCAGGCACACAAAAGTCTTCAACGTTCAGTATAAAATAATAGGAAATATAATGCCCATACGAAACAAGGAAGTGAATAAATACTTGAGCCCTATTGTTTTGACACATACTTAGTTGTTTGATTTCAACTCTTAACTAATAAACCTAAGTTGTCACAAACGAAAGGGAATTTTATAAGAATTGAAGCCAAACAGATGAATTTATTGAAGGTTTAAACTTGTGATGAAATAGATAAATGAACGAGTATATAGGAACGACAGTAAAATGGTGATAAGAAGCAAAGTATGTTAGGATTAACGACCATGATGACAATCTCTAAGATGCATGCTTGAACATCTGGGCTCATTTGCCAGTAGACAACCGCAATAGCACAACTTACTACCAATAATAAACCAAAGTTGAACGATTGTTCTGCTGGTGTACATGTTTGATCAACCACTCCATCATTAGTTGTTTCAACCGTGATATATGTACACTCAGTCTATGGCTAACGCGAGATTGTGGGAAAGATTCCGGCAAAATGTAAAGGCGTCTACCAGTATGGTCAAAGGTGAAGTTACAATTTTACGTATCCTTGACAATCTATTATTGCACAGTTTGTATAAACGCACCTCCTCGAAAAGATTAACCTTGGGTACTTGCTTGCCAGAAAACGTGACACTTAATATGGTTCCTACAACTTTAAATATGAAAACAACTGAATTGCACAGTTCGGGATTTATAACAACATTTCAACGCCATGACACCCGAGTACAATTGTATGAGTAGTACGAAGTCTATAGAAATATCTAGAGTTAATGGCACAAATAGCAACCACATTACTTCTAGTTATTTTCCATAATCCATATCTCTATCTGTCAAAATTACAGATGATAGCGAGTTAAGTAAGTCAAACACGAACAACCGAAATGGATGGATGAATGTCACAACTCGAACAGCGAAACATGCAAATTTAATGGGAGATGGACTTCGGGTATCCTTCGTATGCGGTGGGGTTTAAAAAGTTACACATCTTGTGGAAACACATTTTACACTCATCACATTGCACTCCCTCCTCTACAGGGAAGGAATAACTGAACTGTACCGTGGTTATTATGTGAGTACCTGGAAAGAATACGCCAACCACAATCAGGAAAGTTAAACGTAAAGCTCCATTTAAACAGAAGACGACCATGCTCTTCCTATAAATGCAGCCAGGGCAGACATAGGAAAAGAAGTGATCACGAAAAAGATGACCCAGACAAACACTAGTATTCACTGCAAGCTCACTCTATACACTACTCTTAATGATAGTAGGAATTAACAGTAGGTGGAGGATATGAACGGATATATGAACAACGTAGTTCCCATTGCATTAAAACTTATGAAATAGATGCCACTCAAAACTCGATAATTCTCTTTGATCTTTTAGTGTCAGAGGGTATTCTACAGGAAGGCAGTTCAGCAGTGGGACGATGCTGTTTCATGCTCGACATGGTTATCATTCAACTCAAACTGCGTCTCTTATAAAGAAACTAAACTAAAATAAGAAACAAACCCTCTCCACTAAGAGTAACTCTGGATTACACAAGCATGGCACAGAAAACTCTCACGATGTCTCAGATATCGACGTTCAAACGGTCCTCGGGAACCAGAGTTGAACATGATAAATTGTGGCCTGTAAGACAGATCGTGAGAAAACAATCAGCAAGCCGTGGAGAACCAACTATATGGTAGTCCACAAGAGTCCTAAGCTGGAGTACGACATTTTGGCCAAGCTGATGTGAACGATACTGATTTTTTTTATCTAGCTTCTTGTAATCTATAATTTCCTCTTGTCCTTACACTGTCTGTGTTGCCAACTAATTAATTTATTTATTTGTTTACTTCTTCAGACAACAGTCTTCTCTCGGCTTTTCTGCATTCGGATAGTTTTTGTATTATTTATTATCACATATCAACAACCCCACCCTCCTACTTGATAATGCAACAGTTACTGGTTTAAGAATACCTGCTACCCTGAGATAAATTTATTCATTCAGATGACAAGATCCACAAACCCATAAGTAACTACCAAAATGGTTAGAACTCGTGCAGTCAAATGGTTACGCTACTTCTCACTGGACACCATCACAGACCTATAACCCTACCGAACCAGCCATAAGTGAGATCAAGGAAATCAATCAGTTTATGCAAACTCGACACCAAGATTTTCTATGATGCAATGGCCAACTATGTGATTGTTGGTGTCACGTAGCTAGATTAATCGCTTAACATGATGTTCTCACACTCGCTAAGCGGAGACAAACTACTGGAAATTTGGCAGCTGGCTCACATTACACCAATTTTCAAAGGAGGTCAACACAAAGAACCCTCAAGCTACCGACCCTTTTCTCCGTACTCAAAAATTATGGAGTCCCTTATATGCGACGGTACACACGACCATTTATTATCCCTAAAATTCTTTTCACCCCAACAGAATGGTTTCAGGAATGGTCATTCTTGTATAACCAACCTGCTAACTGCGGTGGACAGACGGATAGCCATCCTCGATCTCAAGGGGAAGGTTGATGTCATTTACCTTGACTTCTCGAAAGCTTTTGATAGGGTCGACCATATATGTCTTATCGATAAGCTCAAACGATTTGGTATCAAATCACCTCTAATTGATTGGCTCACTTCATATCTGAAAAATCGACATTTTAAGGTCAGGGTTAACTTCACTTTTCCTCAGGCTATAGAATGTCCTGGTGTGGTTTCTCAGGCTTCAGTACTAGGAACTTCCATAAAGACGATATTTCACAGCAGGCATTACTACTTTTCGCTCACTGTGTGAAACTTTGGAGAGAGATACGCAACCGAGATGATATACTTGCACTTCAGGAGGATCTGACTCTACTTCAAAGTTGAGCAGTCGACAACAGACTTACTTTTAACACTTCAAAGTGTAGAGTAGTCCATCTGAGACATGTTCCAGACTACAGTTACAACTTAGGAAACTCCTCTCTAGAAGTATCCCAAGAGATTTACGAGTGTTGGTGCTCGAGATTTTAAGTCTTACGTCAACTGTGACAGAAATGTCTTTCGAGCAAACCTTACACTGATAACATTGAAGCCCATTTTTGGCCAGTTTGACGGAAGAACTTTCCGCACAACTTTCAACAATTTCATACGTCCCCATTTAGAGTACGGAAACATAGTATTTCCTCTCTCACTCCAAAAGGATAAGGACACTGGAGCGTATTCAACGGCGAGCCACGAAATCAGTTCGGGGACTCAAATTCAAACTTTATGAAGAGCGCCCTCAATCACTAAACCCTTACCCACTGGAGTACAGGTGTCTTAGAGGTGACCTTCTAATGGCTTACAGCATCCTTAACACTTCTGGGCATCCCCTGAAACACCTACTTAAGTTTAGCTCCACCACAAACCTAAAGGGTAACACCTGGAAACTAGAGGCACGAAACAGCAGAAAGGACTGTGGACACAACTTCCACTCCTTAAGAGTTGTCAAATGCTGGAATTCGCTGCCGGCTGAGCTAGTCCAAGAGACTTCCCAGGAGTTCTTTAAGAGGCAACTTGGCCCATTCTTAAGGACTAAGAATAATATCTTATTTTGATTTATCAGTTTCATTTTCCTATATTATCGTTAATATACCTAGGTTCCTGCCTGGAGGTATTGGTGATCCACTGCTACTGGATGCGGAAGCCTGTTACGCGAAAGCCTCTTCTATTCCGTCCACAACCATTTCAAACCAATTGAATCCAATTGATCTCTGTAAAGTATCAGTTGTTCCTTCACATGAAGACTGGACCACAAAGAAAAAACTGAACGATGTTAGCTAGGCAATCAGACATTCAGCACTAGAGATTTTGGTCCTTACCAGATCAACCAATGAAACCGGTTTGAGCTCACACGCTCTCTGGCGCTAATTATAAACGTTTCAGTTTCGCAGTCTCTTAGGCCTTTTTCATCCATGTTTTCACTGATATGAAATCAATCACAAAAACATAATTATGCTCTAGTTAGTGACCAGGGTAGAATATAGACATTAAGGTCAAATATGCCTGAAATGTCTTGCAAACATGCGAACCAATTCTTCACACAGAAGACAAATGAAATTGCATACAAAAATATCATTAACCATCTTGCTTTTCCAAAGTCCCAGCGTGGATTCACTCATAAGGTATGTTCACTAAAAGGTGGATTGTCTTTTGAGAAATTTAGAGATTTTACAGGTCATTCATCTAGCGTATTGTTTTTCCGTCGTTACGTAAACTACGGATTACGTACTATTTGTTTGAGATACTTTCAGTTAGTCATCACACTAGAGAATTACATTCTAGCTTCACTCTAGAGAACTTGTTGCTTGTGTGCTTCCCTCCCTTTATGCTCGAATATTTTCTAATTGAAGTTACTAGACAACATAAAATCATAATCGTTTGACTTAGATTTTCGTTACTAAACTACAAAGATTGGTATTCATTGAGGCTATTTAGGAACAAACAGGTTTTCTCACTTGCAGATGCGTTATGAGATACAAAGTTTTATTTTGTAAGTCCTGTTAAATACCATGTTTTACAGTGATGTACATTTTATGTAATAATAGTATCTTGGTTTGAAATGTGTTAAATATGTATTAGTGTAAACAAATTGTCAAGTAACAACTTGGTCTGCCCAACACGTCATTAACTTCCAGCTAGATTTATTCAATTGTTACATATAAGTTAATTCGGTTTTAAGAAATCTCCACGGCTTTATGTAGATAAAAGTTTATAGGTTGTTAGAGAATTAGTGCAATAGGCCACTTAAAATAAAATCCAGCCAACTTTCATACAAAACAAATTTCTTACAACTATGGTTTGCCTTACTTTTATGATGCATATAATAGAGAGCTAAAACACTACCACCGCTAAATTATATTCTTAGTAGCGTCTCAAGCCACTAGGTTGAATGATCTTTAGGTGTTTGATATCTACAAACGGAACTTGATGGTTCATAGCTTTCTCTCAGAATAAGGCCATAAACTCATTCAACTATTAAGTCAATCTATCTCGAACAGTACTATTTAATCTATCTGGTTTAATATATAGATGTGAAACTAATGCAAGGTGTATATCCATGAGTTCATGCTCATCAGTTCTTAATGATGAGAATTAAATCTATGTTACAAATACCATGACAATGAATTGGTTGGTCAATTAATCAATTGAAATGTACTAAAATATAAATTCAGAGAAGACTGTCGATTCATGGTTAGCGTTAAGTTATTGACTTTCATGCTAAACTTCATCTTTTGAGTTCAAGATTTTATGTAATATCTTAGTTGTACACTATATTTAAAGATTTCTAGTTTTTCTTAAAGAAACATGTTTGTTAGTCTTTGATCTGCAAACAAGCATATATTTGTGTGTAATGTTTCTTCCAAAAAACTTATTTAAACGTCACAAACTTCTTGAATACATTCGGTCTTTTGTAATTTTTAAACGATATACACATATTGTATTTGGGATTCCTAAATAACTGGACAGAGATTTAAACATTTCAGTTCCATTTACTTAAATTATATGTCAAAAAACTTTTAAAATACTACAGAAATTATCATCATTTTTTTGTGATTAATAAGGCTTCATTATGTTGCACTTTATGCAAAACACGAGGTGAAGATTTTGACGTTTGCAATAAAGATTTGATAAGACCTAGATGTTTGCTCGCATGTGCTCATTGTATTCATTTCGCTTGTTGGGATTATCGTCATATATATTTACACAGAGAAGATCATCCTGATCATTATCTTTGTAAGTATATCGTGTTTTATGTGTAATTGTTGTTAACTGTAATTTGTTTTTAGTTACCATGAGTAATTATAAAAATTTCAGATTGCATTATTTGGTAAAAACTGTTCATTTCTCTGTAATCCGAAGCTTTTTTATTACATTACATGAGACTTTTCCAAAAAATACAGACTTTATGATATTGTATAATGTTATGTGGCAGAATCATACTTCGGCTAAGAATCGATTAAGTGATGAATGTTTTGACTTATTTAAATGTACTTCATTTACTTTGATCGTTTGTTAACTTATAATTAATTATTTTTAGCGAGGAATGATCGTTAAACGAATTAAAATGAACTATTTTCTGCTTAGCAAATTAATTATAGAACTACATTTGATTTTAATCACTCACACACTCTCTCTGTATGTTTGTTTATTGTTCATGGAAAAGTATTTACTCAGATTCCTTTTTGTTATATTCATAAAGCTGTTTGTACAGAACGTGGTGAATTATTTTGTACTGGTTGTGGGGATTTTGTCTACCATTCTGTGGCTGAAAGTTTTCATCAGTCTGCATGTCGCACTTATTTAGCTCAATTTGGTGAGTCTCATTCTTTACTGAATATTTCCATAATATTTTATTTTATTTATTTAAACACAACCACAGGTACAAGAAGGCACCAAATATATATGCGCTACATAAATCATCCGGTTTGTGTGAGGGCTGGGATACTGTTCGGGTGCCCGAACCAAAGCAGGTGGTTTCCTTAGGTGGCCACACCCGGAACCTTTGATTTAATGGTCTGATCCACAAGGCAGTGGAGAAACGTCAGAAGATGCAGTCCCATGGTAGCCGGTGACCAACAATAAGCTCATACACTATTTGTTCCTTTAGGATCTTGGAGCCTATGTTCACCTTCGGTTTGGAATAAGGGTTGTCCAACTCCCCTAGGTGAACCCTCTGTGTTCACCGACCTGGTTAAAGCGTCGGGAATTCGCATTTCGTCCTCTCAATTTCGTAAGCGACAGTAATGCCGTAAGAAGTCAGTGAGTAGGACTTCCGTGTCAGTGGTTGTATGCATGTGGCCATGTGAGAGCATTTGGAGAGGGAGAGCTGACTCTCCCCACTTTCCGCCGTACCAGAGCATTTTGGGACCTGAAATAGGAACAATATTTTGATTATCCGTTAAATCAACAAATAAAGATCGTATGTTTACTCTGGTTGAGGTCCGTTTGATTATCGTAACCAATGATTTAGATGACATGACTCAAAATCGTTCTCAATGACGCAAGTGAATCCACTCCTTGTCTTTTTCTAGTATTTGAGTCCCGAAATCTTATAATCTTTATGATTTCCATACGTAATCTGTTCTACTGGTGACACTGTTACTTCTCGTACTCTAGTATCTGTCTTGAAATAATTTTAGCTCATTGTGGTAATTTGGTTTGGAAAATTGAACCAATTCACCTGTGTCAGGTTCAGTGTCGAGTATGGAGTGACATATTTTTACTCTGTTAAAAATAATTTAAATTATGTTACTGTTCAATTCTCTAGGTGGATAAGTAGTAGTAATGCATGTATTAGCTGTTGTCATGTTTTTTAGCTTTTACGACAAAAACAATTTAGTAATGTTGGAAGAAAAATTCACTAGTCGTATTTTCTTTATTAAGTGAAAAAGTCCTCTCTTATGTCAAGGCATCATGTTATTTGATTCGCCGAAACCTATTCAGAGGGTTAAAACACTTGGGATTTGACTAGCTATTTTTTAAGAATATATCGGTTAATTAACTATCTTTTTCTTGTAAGCTCAGTCTCACGTCAGATTATATCCAGAGTCATTCTACCTAGCAGTAACAGTATTCATGAATAATTTAGATCTACATGAACAAAATCAAATAAGGAAGATTCGTTCAGCCCAGAATCCTCTCTTCGGCGTACTCATTTTTAAAGCGGTGCAATCACAAATGTACACTTATTTTTCCAGACGATAACAGTGACAATAATAGTGATAATAAAATTGTGCTCAACTGCCTTGTGGATCAGACTTTTAGGTCGAAGGTTCCGGCCATGAACCCCTAAAAAAATCACCTGCTTCGGTTTGGGTACCCGGGCAGTATCACAGCCCACACACAAATCATGTGACTTGTGTGGCGCATATGTATTCGGTGCCCCTTTTTACCAATATTTATGTTTTCAAATAAATAAATAATATATGAACAAATGAATACATGAAAATGTTACTTTTATGAAGGGAACTGATAATAAAGCTATTGAGATTTTGAATATTCAAAATAAATAAGTTATGATTCGAAAGGGAAGGATCAGTGTCATCAGGTTAAATGTTGAAATTTCACACTAGGATTTGAGAACAAAGTATTCACTTTCTTAATGTCTAAATGACAGGAAACGCTTGCGGAATAACCAGCTATCAAGCCTTCACAATTAGAACCCCATTAATCGAAAGCGGATGAACAATTATAGTCTATAAGATATCATGGAAGTCAAATACAAGTCATCTCACTGAATCGTGATGTATTTTAGTGTTGTAATTAAGAATAGTAAACATTTTGATCGGTTTTCACATAATATCTGTGATGATTAGTTAATAATAATTAACGAGACAGTGTAAAGTTATTCTCTGATTTCAAGTCAATGTATTCATTTTAATTTAAGTGCTGTAAAAATCTCATACTTACTCCGATATTCAGATAAGAATGTCAAGTCATTAGATATTTCCTTTTATTTGAACCTCATGTTTGAAATTGAATTACTCGTTTCTTGGTTAGTTCGAGTTGCATGATCTATAGGGCCATAAAAGTGTAGCTGTGATGAATAAGTAGTTACTAGTCCCATTTAGCTATCTTTCCTGCCACAGTGACTTGTTATCAACTGACCATCCGCTCGCCTTTACTATCTATTAAGTTTGATGGTCGGCACATAGTCGACGACGTGGAATTTGATGGAATGACATTCGTAAATTATGTGCAAGCCATCGAAGTAGATGTTTCAAGACGATGGTATCGTTTAAATTATTGTCACCGGTTTGAAATATACACTTTCAGACCTTGATATTCCTGATATGAGATTATCTCCTGGTGTACGCGTAGGTGTATATAATCTTTATTTTCTCTTAAACCATGAGATTAAAATTACTTTACACTTTTCTTTCTACGAACTAATCCTTTCTCCCTGTACTATATCCTTACATGCAATGTTTTATATATTACGACCATTGAATTAACTACTATGAATTTAGTGCTCATCTTGTTGTGCTAATGAGGTATGACAACTTGGACCAATCCATATGTATGCCTGGTACTACATTGTAGCTGACTGACTGACTAGCTAACTATAAATGATCCATCAGAAACTGACACAGAGTCTCCAAACATTCTAAACAGTTCGATAATATCTCATTGTTTGTACAACTAGTATGAAAACTTTTGGTGTTATTTAGGTAAAATTTATATCTTTCCAGTTGTTCACTAAATGTAAATCGAATATGCATGGTCTTATAACATTGTTATATTCGTTGTCGACTAGAAAGTCTTAAACTTCTGTATCGGAGTCAAAAAACAGTACATCTGTGGGTTACTTATATCCACACAAGTAGTATATGACGGTGGCCAGACATAGAATGTATTTCAGTAGAAGGTCGATGAGGAAAGAACGGGAACGAAACTTAATTGTTATGAAAACGCATGAACAATGAAATCTGAGACAATGGATTGATTTTTGCAACAGGAACAGTCAAATTTGATATGATGGCTTGATATTTTGCAAATTAACGATTGAATATATAGTTCTCAGATTTTATTGAAATGCTCTGTAATTATGTGTCTAAATACATTCAATTGTCTCCACTGGTGTTTTGTTCACTACACATTGTGTCAGCTTTTATCTCATTTTATTCTTTCAAACTTAACTCAGAGGTTTCATGACAGTTAAGTTATATTCTTATCAATAATCTTAGTAGTATTTAATATTCTCATTACTCTTATGATTAATTTTTCAGGTTTATCCAATCGTTATTGGAGACCATCGTTTAATGAATTACGTCTAATACCTCATATCACTCCAGTATTACCCTTAACTGTAAATGGCTGTTCTGGAGGTTTGTCTACTTTGTGTTTTATTTTGGTGTGTAATTTTTTTTGCACAGAATCCATGAAGATTCTTATTCTATTAGTTTGATTAGTTATTTGGTGTTGTTAACATGTCCTGGTTGCTTAGTCCTTAGTGTCCGAGTCAGTTGTCTTGATTACTAAGTTATGATGAAGCTAATTTCAACTCGTGTCCCACATTGCACTATTTTCCCTCAAATTAGAGAATATTTGAGTGAACAATTGTTCTAAATAACTTCACCATCATCATCAGTGACTCGGTAGTTCTAAATTCGTAGCTGTTGTATTACAAGACCAAAATAAGACATACATGAATAAAGGAGTAAGGCAATGTTATGTTAGACTAGTCAATTAGTTAGTCAGTCAAACACAATGTAGATTCTGACAAATATGTACATCGGTACAAGTTATCATACCCGATATGTACACCAAGATAAAATTATCTAGACAAACATCAGAGTATTAGAGATAGTATTAACAATATTAGTGGTAATAAAAGCGGTTAGGCATCAAAAATACGAATTGAGGCGAAAATGTAAATTAGTGAATCATAAGAAAAGCTTTTGAAGAATTAACAACTTAAAATCTAAAGGAATATAAAACGTGGATAGATTTGAGTCATTGCAAACGATTCAAGGTCTTTAACTATTGGCGACGATAATCATCCAAGGTTCAACCAATGTAGCCATTATGTACTTACATGACTCCATGCAATAGTTAATGTGATTAAACTGGTGAATTTTGACATAGACAGTTACTGTCCAACTAGATTTAAAATGTGTCATTTGTAAGTATATGAGGTCATTTATGAAAGATGGAAAGTCCGTTGTTAGGCATTAAGTTACAATCAATAAACCATGAGGATAAAATGCATACTAGGAGAGATTTTATGCTAGGCTAATTGAAATAACTAGTGTAGTAGCAGCCTCTGCAGCAGTAGGCGTCAACATACACAAAGGAAAAAGCAAGATACTCAAATACAACACCGAGAAAACCAACGCAATCGCACTTGGTGGCAAAACTCTAGAAGATATGGGATCTTTTATGTACCTGGGAAGCATCATCGATGAACAAGGAGGATCAGATACAGACGTAAAGGTGAGGATTAGCAAAGTAAGGGCTGTATTTCTACAATTGAAAAACATATGGAACTCAAAACAACTGTCTGTCAACCAAAATCAAAGTCAGAATCTTTAATACGAACGTCAACACAGTTCTATCGTACAGAGCTGAAACTTGGAGAACTATTACAACCATTATGAAGGAGGTACAAGTGTTTATTAATAATTGTCTACGCAAGATACTCAACATGTATTGGCCGAATACCATTTGCAACAGTCTTGTGTGGGAGAGGATAAAGCAGCTTTCAGGTGAAGGGGAATTTAGGAAAAGACGATGGAAATGGGTAGGACATACATTACGGAAATCACCAAAGTGCATCACGAAGCAAGTGCTAAGTTGGAATTCTGAAGGGGAGTGAAAAGGTGGATGGCCAAAGAATACATTAGGTCGGGAAATGGAAGCGGATATGAAAATGATAAATAACAACTGGAAAGTATTGCGCAGGACAGGGTTGGATGGAGAGTAGTGGTTGGCGGCCTATGCTCCTCCACGAGGAGTAACAGGTGTATGTAGTAATATGAGGGTAATTGTCATAAGAAATTCATGTAAATCGAGAATGACGAGTGTGCAAATCAAAAATGTGATAGCACAAGGCGGAAATAAACATAAAATAAGATGGGAGTTAAAGGTTTATGTAAGAAGTGGTCTAATCATGAGTCACTATAAACAGAGAAGTTAAATATATCTTTTTCTTTGAATATATTAGTTTAGTTTTCTAGAGTTGATCCTGATCACTTCAATCATGTAACGAAGCCATAATCATGCTCATCAAATTAATATTTTTTAAGGATGTGATATGAAACAGAGAGCGTCTTACATGTTTTCAGTCAGCTACAACGTGGGACCAGGCACATATATGCATAGGTTCAAGTTGCTATACCTCATTAGCACAACAAGATGAACATCGAATTCATAGAAGTAGTTAATTCAATGGTGGTAATATATAAAACAAAGATTGCATGTAAGGATATAGTACAGGGAGAAAGGATTATTTCATAGAAAGAATAGTGTAAAGTAATTTTAATCTCACAGTTTAAGAGAAGACAAAGAGTGTATACACCTACGCCATTGTGATCGATTATGAATCATTTCATCCATTGTCTCCAACCATTGGTTACGATAGTCACAAGGACCCTGACTAAGTAGTAATGAAAAATTTAAAAATTATACATTTTGAATGTTTTAGGTTGTCAACCGATACAAAGTTCACTTTTTTAAAAAAATGTTACACTGTCTAATTCACTTGTTTATGTGTATCTTACTTTGGCCTTTATAGTATAATAATTATGAACATAGGGTACCTGATAATGACTGTTTAAATTCATTCATAGGTTAAATAATGGACTGATTTTACTTAGATACTTCGAGAATGCACACCTCTGATGCCGCTGGGGAATTATACTCAGGGTTTCTTAGTTCCATAAAAAGCTGATATTATGCTATGGCTTCTATTTCCAAGTTCAGTAATTTCAGAGTATCATCTAACTATCATCGATAATACTTGTCTCAAACTCGAAATGATTGAACTCTTACTAATTCTAGCTTCTCACTAGAACTTTAGGAATTCTCCTCTTGGATATTCACTGTTGAGTGTTTTCGTACTTACACAAGACAACAATTGAGTTCTCTTTAATTTTCAGCGAGTATGTAGCTAAGTTAGATCATGATTTAAAATCACAAATAGAACAGTCTTCACTAATAACCTCTTATATAAATATCTTCATTCAAGAAAAAGTGAATAAATAACTTATTTGTTATTAGGTGGTTGAACGTAGTTGACAATAAATGATTAGATAGACATAATAATGGTCACTACTCCGAGATTAATCAATATAAATAGCCTTTTTTTCTGTACCTTTTATGTAGCTATGCGTGGTCTTATCAATATGGGCAATACATGCTTCTTAAATGTTGTCATACAAGCGTTGACGCATACACCCGTTTTACGGGATTATTTATTGGCTGATTTACATAGGTGTTCAAGTCCAACTCGATCACGTAACTGTTTAGCTTGCGAAATGGTTCGCATTACACAAGAGGTATATATATGTATATTTACGCATATAATTTATTGTTTAAGTAAATATCTTGTTTGACTATTTGAAACACTTGATAAGAAGCGCTGCTTAACATACGTTATTTTTGTATGACATCGATTCTTAGACCAATAATATTCTTTAAGGAATCCGCGAGAATGCAGTCAGTAGGACTTCCGTGGCAGTGGTTGTAGGCACGTGGCCATGTGAGAGCCTTTCGAGAGGGAGAGCTAACCCTTCCCACTCTCAGTTGTACCAGGGCATTTGGGGGCGGATGAATAGTGGCTAACAGTGGAATCCAGGACGCTTGTTTCATTACATTTATAGGTATTTAACAATGAGGTATTTGCTCTACAACTTTTGTCATGTAGAATTGAAATGTTTTTACACTGATTATAATCACGTTTGGTAGTAAAAATTATCATTTTTTCTTTATAGTAGTTGTACATTACAGACTGACTTTAGTTAGGCAACGAGTGAAAGTCAGAAAGTGTTGAGTAGTTATTTAGTATTCGTACAGAATCTCTCAGCAAGGACATCTACGACCCTACCAGATTTCGAAGCTCTAGGACGTGTCGGGGTGAATAGTTAGCCGTCAGACTGCCGAATTAGTGGTTTACATTCCTAACTTCAGCCATTTCATGATATTACACGAGCATCGTGTTGCATAATCCTTAGTACTTGATTGAATTCTATTAATCAAGTCGGTTATTGTGGTTTGAATCAATGGAGCGCAAAGGGTGGGAATATCCACTTTCATCAAGGCATCAGATCTATCTTGCTTACTTATAATATCATTGTACACTTCCTTGTTGATTCATGTGGTAGCTTAATAGACAGAATTCGTTTAGTACAAAACTGACATTGATCACTTCATCTCCTGTAGTTCTTAGGAATAAGGACATCTGGAAAGAGAAAGGAAAGGAAACTCTAATTTCATGATCGTTTGTCCTTTCAACGTTGTTTGATATAATGCTTTCAATTTGTACAGGGAGTAGATCAAGTTACTGGGTTTTTATGAATATCATTTACTACAGTGGTTGTGTGGAGACTATACAAGATCGAGAACGATATCAACCAGAAAAACCACTGATAACTAAGGTATACTGGATGGTTGTTTTATCTCTGTTCCTAAACTGTTTGCGTTTTCGGGTCGAACATACAAATATCAATTTTTAGGCGTCTTGAGTCAGTTATTATTGTCCATAGGTTTTCGAAGTATCCAGTTTTTTTAAAAATTCAACTTGCTTTATATCGTATTCCTCATCCGAATGTCATCATTGAGAGTTACTTATTACAACACCTTATTTCTGACTTGACCTCTTTAAATATTCAGATCTTCAGTTCTCAGTACTGTATGTTATTGTAGAGGTGCGCATTATACAGACTTACTTAAACCTGTTACCTATCTTGGAACATAGGTTACTGACCAGGAATATCCAGTCAAATCCATCCTGAGCTCTTTCTTCCTAGTTGTTGCCAAGTGCTGTTCATCCTTCTGATGTCCGCCTGTTTTCCATTTGTCTTGAGGATTCCAAGTCTACCTTCTCATTTCTGCCTCTATGTGAATGACCCTTCCGATCCCCCACACTTTGTAGACATTCCTTGTATTCATATCAATTGTTACTCTGGTTGTCGGGAGTATCGGCCTCGTGATTCCCAAAAAATCTTGGCTTTCACCATAAGGCGTTATAATTTTTATATGAAAATTCCCAGGCCAGATTTTAAATGGTCAAAATGATTTTTTTTTCTGGCCAGAGTTTTTTTAGCTATGTTCTCTTTCATGAAACGTGGTTGCTAAGCCCATCCCACACCCTCCTCCTTTACAAGGACTTGGGACTGATAGTAACCCTAGAAGTGCTCTAGTCAGAGTTTGTATTGTACAGAGTATGTTTCCAAATGTAGGTTGGTGTTACGTCATGATGAGCATTAATTGTTAAATGTTTAGTTGTCTATATATATATATATATATATATATATATATATATATATATATATATATATATATATATATATATATATATATATAATCAAAGTAATTATTTATCTCTCAAATATATAGTTATATAAACCCGTTGTTACTCCATTTGTACCAAATAATCTACTGTATGCAATTTGGTTACATGCAAGTCATTTAGCTGGTTATGAACAACGGGATGCTCATGAATTTCTTATAACATTATTGACTTTAATACATGGTCATCTTGTTGGCGAGGAATCACCACACGATCATGAAGGTGAGTATATAGTTTTTTTCTCAATTCGCTCTTCATATCATGGACTGAGTTTGATTAGATAACGATTTCAAACCAGGAGGCACTGAACATCTACTTCGTCCTAGTGTCGAACTCCATTCCGGTTCAAACTTAGGGCGTCCTAGTCTCGTGATGAGCTTTTAACCTTTAGATCACTGAATTGACATGCATGTGAGAGACTAAAAATTGGAGTCCAGCCATGCTGGTAGTAGTGCAGTCACCCACCAATGATTGCGCAAATTCGCGAATACATTGAGACTAGACATGTAAACAATAGGTGCCGGTTCAGTAGTTTAAAAGTTAGGCACCCTTCTTAATACATGAAGTTTGCAAGTTCGATCCCTGTCAGAGTCGGGGATGTAAACTACTGAGAAGTCCTGTAATCTTATGACACAGGTATCTAATGTTTACTAATTTTTCATGATTGTTCAACTGAGATCAGCCCGTGTTATTATGATCATTAAAGTTGGTTATTACATGTAAAATACAATTTCTATTATTAGAGAATTGTACATTGACTGGACAAAAACTTATCAATGATCAACAACACTCTTCTAATCCAAATGGTAAATTTATTAATACAAATCACAATTTACTACATCATCATCAGCATAATAGTAAAGTGATTAGAGAAACGCCAAAAATAATCAATTCAACTGAATGTATTCCACAACCGGATTCAAATTCACAAGCATCATCAGTATCTAGTTCTCGAGAAAGTTCCGATTCTTGTGATTGTATTGTTCATCAGGTAGGTAGGCGAGAAAAATGTTGTCTGTTCATATGTATATTTATGTAGTGAATAGTTGATTTATATTGAATTTTATTTATTTATTTATTTTAACACATAAGTATAGGTACAGGGAGGCACCAAATACATATGCGCCACACGAATCTCAATTGATTTGTGTGAGGGCTGTGATACTGCCCGGGTGCCCAAACCGAAGCAGGTGGTTTTCTTAGGGGGCCACACCCCGAGCCTTCGACCTGGACGTCTGACCCACAAGACAGTGGAGCATCGTGAGGAGATGCAGTCCCATGGTAGCCGGTGACCAACGATTGGTTCATACGCCATTTGTTCCTTCAGGATACTGGAGCCCATGTGCACAATTGATTTGGGATCCGGTTAAAGCTCCGGACATTCGCTTTTCGTCCTCTCATTTTCGTAAACAACGCCCGTGGTGCGAGAAGGCAGTGAGTAGGACTTCCCTGGCAGAGGCTATATACGCATGGCCATATGAGAGCATTTCGAGAGGGAGAGTGGACTCTCCCCACTCTCGGCCGTACCAGGGCATTTGGGGGCTATATTAACAGTACTAGTACGATACAATGGATTTTACCACTTTGTCAATTAACAGGCTAACATATATAGGGAATGGGTTTTGAAATCGGCTACAAGTCAATTATTCATGGTCCACGCAGGAACTGGCCTAAAATATTACATCTACCTGAGTTGTACTACACGAGTTCAGCATAGTGAAATGGAATCCAACAAAACGATGAATAGAGGATTCGGAATAATTATAGTATTGATGATATTATGACCAAATAAAAAGAGAATATCATCCGAAAAGGAACGGGATTGCATTAAACAATCGGTTTTGTATCATTTTACTGAAGGTTAATAACTATTAGTCACACAGATTCCAGCCAGGCAGTCAATGACTTCATGTACTGATAGTATGATTTCGTTTATTTCTACCTGTTACGTCCTTGATCTGTCTACCCAATAATACACGGGAGAGAACTTGTATCGATATAGGTTGACGCGATAGGCTAACTGATTCAACTTTGAGGCTAGAAATGCATGAGTCCGAATTGAGATTAACAGAAAACTGTTTTGGGCAGAAAGTTGAAAACTATTCTGTCACCTGATTAGTAGGCAAGCTAGAGAAATTAGTCAACTGGAACACTACTCAATTTATTCTTGATTCCGATGAATGTAAAAGGACATATGACTAACACGACCTCAATACACAAACCATTAGAAAAATACAATTAGGGTAGAAAAAATAGAGTACAAAAGGTTACGTTTAAATTACAGTAGCTTTAGAACAAAAGGGAGCATGCCAGTGAATCATGCATCAAACGAAAGCTTATTGTTTATGTAATAACCCAGGAAAAAACTAAGTGTTAGTATTTTACAAACTTTAAATTCAGTGTAATAATGTTCTCAAAAATAGCTTTCGTTATTCGTCATGGCTTCTTTACTTCTCTATTCGCATCATTACCTTAAGCTTTCTTCCAGTGTACTTCCATTTCTGTCAACAATGCTCTTTTGAGGTAAAGGGTAGTTAATGAAGTATACACGTAACACATAGTCCTAATTACTCCACGGTCTTTGAAGATTCATAGATCGAGTTGCCATATCTTCCAAAGTGATCAGATTATTCATGGCTGTTATTAAGCTAGTATTATTGTACTTTGAGGGATAAATATTTGCTATACAATGTATTCAAACTAACGAAACATTCAATCAGATGATTTCAAGTTCTATTAGATGTATCAAGGCGTTTACTACCTCCAGGTTGCATACACTGTTGAGCGATATTTTTTTCTTGTTAGACCTGAAAAGAAAACTGAGTTAGGAATGTTTTTGATGACCCAGGAAGGTGATCTCAGAGCCAAATGGATAACCGACTGAGGTCAGTCATACAGGTGAGATATATCACTTTTGCATCAGCTCTTTGTGACTCTCCTTCTATTGTGCGAAGGCAGCATCACAAATCATGTTGATTTCAAAGAAACACCTTATGTTTATCACATTTTAGTACAGTTGATAATATGATTTTGGCCCCAAACCTTAAGTTTATTGCTCTTCATCCGACTCACCTGACTTTGTAGAAGATGTAGTGAAATGAGTAGTTCAGTCAATATAACTTGACAGGCGACACTAACTACCACATCATTGTTACAACTTCTGTTTATATCCAGCTTAAATCTATTTATGGCATAGTACAACTCTCACTTCTCCAATTATATGAATTGACAATATATGCAGCTACACTTCAACCGTTCTTGATTTAATACATGTGCACTTATGTATCGATGAAAGACAGGTCTATTACAAGAGAATTTCTATTGTCCTCTACAAAAGACAATCTTATTGTTCAGTTATTAGCTCTTGGAAAATAAATGATAAACCTAAGCAAATATTAAATTTTTATAGGATATCCTCAAAACTTGCTTCTATTATGTTTTGTTTTGTTTTGAGTCGGATGTAAAATTGATTCTTCCCGTGTGTGTTGTTACTCTATTGTATGCATGTATTTATGTATAATATAGGTGTTTTTTGGTGATTTGGAATCTGTCATATCATATGAAGGTTGTGAGCATAGGTCATCAACAGTAGATCCATTCTTAGATCTTTCATTAGATGTAATTCAACGTGGTTCTACATCATTACAAGCATGTCTTGGATCCTATTTTCGACCAGAATTAATTGATGGTTTAATATGGTGTTCACAATGTAATATTGGTCGACCGGCTGTTAAACAATTCAGTTTACTTCATTTACCTAATGTTTTATGCTTTTATCTCAAGGTATGTATCTAATCATTAATGTTATATTTTCGCTCTTAAGGTAATAACCCAGCTATTCCTATTGCTTAGTATTCACGGTCACAGATTCACTCGACAAGGCGCCAAATCAGAACACGATTGAGCAGGAAGGAGATTATATTCCAAATAACAAGGTTAGGTGGAAGCAAGAAGCAGGAAGCAAAATAGGAAAACCGTTAGTATATTTATAGCTTTTTACATAAGAAGAATCTAGAAGCTTCTCCATGTATCGACTAGCGCTGATTGGATAAAAATCAGCCAATCAGCGTGCGCCAAAGCAATCGTGCATTGAGCATGCTTAAATCCAATCTATGTCCCACTAACAATTAATCTGTAAATATGATTTCTATTGTTGCTAAATAGTTTACTAAATACATTGGTTTTCGAAGCAGTAAATCTATACCAGGTTTAAGTCTTACTGTAAATATTAACAATACTAGAATCCAGATACCTAAATAATTAGTCTTATATGAGACAAAACACAGTATATAATTAATTGGTGACCATATGAACTATTGAGGCTCTCGTTCAAAGAGTCTATACATCGACAGATTTTGATAAAATTCAACTTACAACTTACCATGTATATATTCATCTATTTGGCTTTTAGCTGCGCTCTAAATACATGGGAATCAGCGATATTACCTGATTTCCCAAACCAAAGCAAATGGAGTGAGGTTCGAATTTGTGGTCTGATGACTAAAAGTCTGGTCCTTTAATCTTTGAACAACCGCTCCACTTGAAAATGATAACAATAATTGAATACAGATCCTTTAAGATTTATAGAGGTTAATACTATTTGAAACGTAATATTTCTTCGATGAATTAATGATTACTTTCATGATACACTGATTGATCCATAAGTAATGATCAACATCATATTTATCTTGTCCTTAGTGTTAATTGAATTCGATCTATCAAGTTGCAATGTGTCTACCATTCTAAGTAACTGGACATCAAGTTCATTATGTTTCGATTTTAGGTGGTTGAACATTGTCAAGAGGAAACCCAGGATATTAGTATCGGGCTAGTTGGAACTCTAACACGGCGTAGCTGAAATCTTGAAGGAACTCATGTTCTGCTGGATTAAAATCTAATCTACTCAGTTCCACAGTCTAATATGTTACTACTGAGCTATTCGGTCCGTTCAATGGTTACGTTCAACAATATGAAATTGAGTGATTCAGATTTGGATCCACTAGAGAACATTAGTCCCCTCAAGATTTCATGTACGCCGTGTTGACGAGCATGAAACCGATATTCAGGGTTTTCTCTTGACTACTATCAAGAACTCACTGTCAAGGCAACGTTGCTAATTCAAAACCACGGTTTTATGAATTCAGCTTTACTGAGCATATGATTGATTGTTTGAAGATTATTGATGCTATTATATAAATATTCAAACGAAAATAAGTGACGTGTGATTCAAACCCGTGTTCTCATTAGTTGAAAGTCTAGTGAACTGGACTTATCCACAATTGTTTATAGTTATATAAGCGCCGTTAAAAACATAATAATTTAAAGCTGGGAATATAATCTTTAATCAACATTACACCGGAATAGATCAGCAGGTATTTTGTAATGATATGGAAGGTTGGAAGGAGTGGAAGACACAGAGTAATATGCAAACTGCAGATATAACATTAAGTTTGATACCATGTAGAAACACGGTCTCTTGTGACTCCTGAAAATCAAAGTGTCAACGCCATTCATTAAACGTTCGAGGATATAATCCCAATCATCAAATAGTACTTTAGCCATTCTCAGTCATTCAGTCAGCTACAACACAGGACCAGTCACATACATGCATCAGACCAAGGTTAACACAAAATTCATAGAAATAGTTACTTTAATGGTAGTAATATATAAAAGAAAGATTGTATATAAGGATATAGTATAGGAAGAAAGAGTTAGTTCGTAGAAAGAAAGGTATAAAGTAATTTGAATCTCACGGTTTAAGAAAAGACAAGGAATATGTACACCTACGCCATTGTTATCGATTCTGAACCATGTCACCCATTGTCTCTAACCATTGGTTACGATAGTCACACGGACTCCAATCAAGTAGTCTGCATCTACCAACATAGCTCAGACCAAATATTAGTGACGTCGAGGATTAATGCCACGTCTCGGTTTGGCCACCCCTGACCATTCTAAATATTTAATTATTTGAATTGTTTTCTCAACTTCATACCATGTATATTCTTGATTTTCCACTCTTTTTAATTGTCATTTCATCATATCAAGCGTTGTCATCATGATACGAAAATAAATACATCCATCACATTCCCTGTTGAATTGGATATGGCTCCGTATTTACATCAAATTGTCGGCGATCAATCAGCTTGGTATGATAAGTAAGTTTGTTATTATGAATTTTAGTGATGAAAAAGGGAATATCTCTTAGTTTTTTGTTAGTAGTATGGTTATATTGGACGAATTTCTGAGGTGGTTCGGACATGTATTAAGCATTCCCAACACCTACGACCTGCCTCGTCGTGCAATGATCGTTGGGATAATTGTGATTTGAAAGTAAAATAAGGTAGATAAATACTATCAGGTTGCAGTATCACTCGATAACGTTGATAAGTGATTGAAGACTTGTAATGATATGCCTCAAAATTGGTCACAGTGGCTTAGATACATTCTTTGTTTACCTTCAGTTGCGATATTCTTTCCTATCTTCGCCAACTAAATTTCCAATGTTTTGTCTTTATCATTATCATTTGTTACTACAATGATTTCAGATCATTTTATTTTTGTTCTGTTAATTTCATCTTGTCGTTTTAATGTTGTATGGAAACTTTAGCCACGCAAATTTATACCGAACTCTACATTGATTATAATTGATTGTGAGTCAGAAACTTGAGAACAACTATTTCCAAACGTCCAGACACATAGAAAGATTATGTACTCATAAATCGATTCCAACTTTCATAGATTAGTATCTTTATAGAGACAGTCCACTAAGGTTAAATTAAATTAAACTAGTGTATTGTTTGAGTACGTTCCGGTTGATCGTTTGCTTATAATTAACAAACTGAAAATGTAACATCGTTTATTTCTTGAACAGATTACGCAAATGAATACACATCATTAAGATTGATGTCGTTTAAAGTCTCCATTGACAAATGACAGCTGTTTCATCGAGCCTAACCAAAAAGCATACACCAAGAGTTAATGACTTGAATTAAATTACCATTCTATCTAAATCTTAGTATTAGCAAAATGAATATATTATCACTCGTGTTACGGACTATACTCTTCTTTTTTCATATACTGAGATAATGATGAGAAATAATTTTTAGATACTTAGAATCTATCAGTCTCGCGCGCGAGCACTTAACTACTGGACCGTTTAGCCGGCCGGCATCCAACGGTGTTAATGTCTAACTTCAACTAATCCACGAAATTTAGCGACACATCCACCATTGTCTTTTGTGAGTTACTATCTCAAAACAGACTCGGCCGAACTATACTGGTCACTAGTTCTCACTAGAACTCTAACAAATACCTCTTGAAACCAGTCACTAGTGAGCATATGTTGATTCATATCAGAAAAACTTGGAAGCACTGGATGGCCCTTTTGTCCTGCTGTGGGACTCCTCAGTGGCAGTGCGCATCCGCGATCCTGTCTCGCTTACACGTTTTCCATGGTGGTCTAGCTTCAATTGACTCATGATCTCAACAAGTGAAATCACTATATTATCTACAAAAAACCTTCTGATATGTTTCCCTGTGATTACTGTAACAAATCATTCGATTCGTTTGAGGGAGAAGATACTGCAGTGAAGTAACGTTAAGAAATTCATTTCCACTTTAGTCAGTGACCAACGATTGGTTCATACTCCATTTATTCCCTCAGTATCCTGGAGCCCATATGTACCATTGTTTTGAAATCAGAGTTATCCAATACCCCTTGTGGATCCTTTTTATTCGCTAACCCGGTTGAAGCCCCGAACATTCGCTTTTATTGTTCTCAATTTCGTAAACTTCACCCCCGCTTCGAGAAGTCAGTGACTGTATACGCGTGGCTATGCGAGGCGTTTCGAGAGAGGGAGACCTAACTCTCCCCACCATCGATCGTACCACAGCATTTATATCAAAACATTAAAAGAGATATATTATAATTCTGTTTTATTTTTCAATTTTAGATATTCTCTGTATGCTGTATTAAATCATAGTGGTCAAACTAATTCTGGTCATTACACAGCTTATATACGTGTGGGTCCTGGTGCTTGGTGTTTATGTGATGATCAAAAAGTTGTATCAGTTAATTTAAATGATGTTTTACATACAGATGCATATGTATTATTGTATCATAAGAATTTATTAGCTGTACGCATTTAAATTTATCTCTTCCCTTACTTGTTCTCTTTTCTGTCTCTGTCCTCCCCTTCTCCCTCCCTCTTTCTCTTGGGTATTTCTTCAATTTATTCTTCTCTTTCTCTTAGAAACTTCTTCTACCAAATTATCCACCCCCTCTCTTTCTCTCTCCCTCCCTCCCTCCGAAAAAGACAACAAAAAAAGCAAATAGAAAATTGTATTTCTTCTCTTTTTTTATGGTGAAAAATGTTTACATATTTTTTTTTACAAAACAAAAAAGAAGAGAATGCACTATCTATTGTTGTTATTGTTTGTTTTTCTGTTTACTTTATTCTTCGCTTACTACTCGACCATTACTATTATTATTATTATTATTATTTTCATTATTATTATTATTGTTTTTATAACTAAGAGGGCAATCGTATTAGTAATAGTAGTTTTTTAACAACAACAGCAACCAATTGTCTTTCATGGATTGATTCAAAAGCAAAAAAAATATATATAAACTGGTTACCTCTTCGATTCTTAACTATTCCAACATTTTAATCATCTCTTTTTCCCAACCGGTGAGACTATCATTTATGAATGAACCAATCAGGGTTAAAGATAATAGATTTTAGATTTTTTTGGACACAAAATTTTGTGTCACATTGAATTTGATTAAATAGAGTTTTCACATGATAGTTCATGATGAAACCGTCTCCCCCCATCCCCCCCAAAGAAAGATCTAATTTCTAACCTTAACAATTCGAATACTTCATATTGGTTTATAACCTTCATTTAGTCCTGGTTATCAAGTGGATACTATTAAAGTCAATTAAACATCATTTAAAGGTATATTCATAAATTATAGTCTCATTGATAGATCTGTTATGTTTAGTATTATTCACTATTTATATAAATTTTTCTTCAATTATGATTCTAGTTCTTCTTTGTTTATTTCTCAATGTATTTATGTTTGTCTATTTTACAAATGGTACAACTTTATTTATATTGTATTATTGAAAGTTGTAAGAAATATATATTATATAGATGTTTATTTGGTTATGTGTGTGTGTGTATACATTGTAATGTTCAATTGTGATGATCTTACACAAGATGAAAGATCAATTTTGTCAGTTCTTGTGTAGTATGTACAATAAGGTTCTCAAATACAACATGGAGAACATCAACCTAATCACACTTGATGGCAAAACTCTAGAAGATATGGGATCCTTTATGTACCTGGGAAGCATTATCGATGAACAAGGAGGATCAGATACAGACGTAAAGGTGAGGGTTGACAAAGCATGGACTGCATTCCTACAATTGAATAACATATGGAACTCAAAGCAACTATATGTCAACCAAAATCAAAGTCAGAATCTTTAATACGAATATCAACACAGTTCTGCCGTGCGGAGCTGAAACTTAGAGAACTATGACAACCATTATGAAGGAGGTACAAGTGTTTATTAATAATTGTCTACGCAAGATACTCAACATGTATTGGCCGAATACCATTTGCAACAGTCTTGTGTGGGAGAGGACAAAGCAGCTTTCAGGTGAAGAGGAATTTAGGAAAAGACGATGGAAATGGGTAGGACATACATTACGGAAATCACCAAAGTGCATCACGAAGCAAGTGCTAAGTTGGAATTTTGAAGGGGAGTGAAAAGGTGGATGGCCAAAGAATACATTAGGTCGGGAAATGGAAGCGGATATGAAAATGATAAATAACAACTAGAAAGTATTGCGCAGAACAGTGTTGGTTAGTGGCCTATGCTCCTCCTCCACGAGTAGTAACAGGCGTAAGTAAGTATTGGTGACTGTTTGGCAAGTATATACTCAGTAAAGAGCAACCTTATTTCTAGAATGGGAAATCTCTGATCTAAATTACACACTACTCATCCACTAAATAAACGGAAACAATATAAGTGAATTGAAAGTTTAAAATAAAGAGGATATAAAAATACAAGAATTCAGCTATTTAATAATCTACAAATGGCCAACAGTGGGGAGAATTTGTTCTCCTCTTCGAAATGCTCTCACATCACCACATTTATATAACCACTGTTAAGTACATTCTACTCACTACCTCATGCTGGTGCTGTTGACGAAGTTTAGAGAATGAAAGACGAACATCCGGTACTTTAACTGCACGAATGGTTACGCTGGAAGTTGAAAATGCCTGATTTCAAACCAATGATTCACATGGGCTTCAGCATCTTGAGGGAATATATAATGTATGAACCTAATGTTGGTCACCGGTGGATTAGACATCTAGGTCAAAGGCTCGGGGAGTGACCTCCTAAGAAAACCACCTGCTTCGGTCTGGGCATCCGGAATGTATCCCAGTTAATTAATTTATTTTATTTGGAATGAGGGGTTTCCAACTCCCCTAGATGGATCATCCATATTCAGCAACTAAGTTGAAGCTCCGGACATTCTCTTTTTTCCCATCAATTTTGTAAACAACACCCGTGGTGCGACAAGGAAGTGATTAGGACTTCCCTAACAGTGGCTGTATACGCGTGGCCATGTGAGAGCATTTCTAGAGAGAGAGTTGACTTTCTCCACTCTCGGCCGTTCCAGGGCATATGGGGTTCGCAGCTTGTACACAAATTTAATAATCTAAGTCCTAAGTTTCATTTCAAATTTCATATGGGTAATAGAACGGCAAGTTTTCCAGCCTGAATTTAGAGTCGAATACGCATATTATTAGTCAAGAACAGGCTGTATTCCGTAAGGATCGGTGTGCACAGACCAAATCGCAACGCTACGGATCTTCGTTGAATAATCGGTTGAGTGGAACTCGTTACTATACATCAACTTCATTGAGTATGAGAAGGCATTTGACAATGTGAACAGGAGGACCTCATGGGACCTTCTTCGACATTGTGGTGTGCCTAATAAAATCGGCGACATCCAGAATTCATACGACGGATTACAGTGTAAAGTCGTACATGGAGGACAGCCGACAGATGGATTCCCAGTAAGGACCGGAGTCAGACAAGGCTGTCTACTCTCCCTCTTTCTTTGGTGGTCGACTGGATTATGAAGACCTCAGCATCTGAGGGAAAGCCCGCAATACGATGGACAGCTCAAAACCAATTGGACGATCTGGACTTCGCAGATGACCTGGCCTTCCTATCCCAAATACACGAACAAATTCAGATAATAATAACTAGTGTAGCAGTAATCTCTGCATCAATAGGCCTCAATATACATAAAGGAAATAAGCGACCGAGTTTACCATTCGTTTAAAGATTAAGCTATCGACCGACCCGGTTCCACTTTTAGATACAAAACTTCCAGGCTACCTTGGATTTACAGTTTTGTGTAGCTGTATCGAAATGTCTTTAATTCAGACATCGTTTCCGCGCTTGAATTTGAAAAATTTTCATTTTGAAAATCGTCACCTTGAATATAGACTTAATTATTAATTATAAATAATGTCGAATGCAATAAAAGTATATACTGGTTCAAGTGTTCATAAATCATTCATCAGTATAATCAGAAATTAGAAGAATAGAAAAAGCTTCTTACTACATCCTGTTAGTCAGCTACTTGGCATGTAGCACAAATCTTAATCATAGTCCACAACTCGATTAATCGATTGACCATCACCTTTACATATTTTGGCATCATCATTGATGAACACGATGAACCTGATTTACACGTGAAGTTGCGAATCGGCAAGGCAAGAGCAGCATATTTACAATTGAAGAACATCTGGAATCCAAAACAACTCAACCAACATCAAAGTCAGCATCTTCAATACAAATGTCAAGACAGTTCTACTGTATGTGGTGGAAACTTGTAGAACTACGAAAGCTATCATCCAGAAGATACAAATTTTTATTAACAATTGTATACGCAAAATATTTTGGATCCGTTGGCCAGACACCATCAGCAACAAAGCAGGTTGTAGCGACGAAGAAATCAAGAAGAAGCACTGGAAGTGGATAGGACACGCATTTAGTAAAGCACTCAACTACGTCACAAGGCAAGTCCTCACGACCAAAGGAGAAGAGGAAGACCAGAGAACACATTACGCCAAGAAATGGAGACAGACATGAAATGGATGAACAACGATTGTATAGAACTAGAAAGGGATGCTCATGACAGAGTGAGTTAGAGAATGCTGATCGATGACCTATGCTCCATTGGGGGGGGGTAACAGACGTAAGTAAGTAATCCAATAATAATTGAACACCAAATCATATATAAAAACATATATGAATACATTTTAACAATCCACATATTTCCACCACCTTTCATTATATTATGTTTCATTAATTAACTAAATTTAATCAACTTGTCTGACGATATAAACTATTTTTGACGCCTGTTACTATCAGCATTCATATCACTAGGCTGTTTTTTTGTATAAGGAGTTTTGAAGTTTTGCACAATGTCTAATCATATATCCTTCATTTCTAAATTTATTATCTGTACATATACGCACCCCCCCCACACACACACACATGTATCCTGTAGTAAATAATTTCCGTTTGTTTTTAGAAATTAGTTATTACACATGATTAAATCTGTTGGTTAAAAAGTAATAATTCAGTGGGTTAAAATAGTTAATTGTTAATTTATTAAGGAACTGACACACATTACATTGATGACAATCTAATAATCAATCAATTATACATACATTTCAATCTTACAGGAGGTCAGTTGTGGTACGGATAACCCAGTGATAACCTCTGTGACTGTGAAGCTAGGTGATATAGGATCGAATTCGTCAGGGAGAACTAGTTCCATCAAGATTGCAGGTACACCTTGCTGATGAGTGACAAATAACACGAAACTTAGGTCCAGAGTTTGATGTTGACTACCTGCAACCACCATCTTATCCCAACATAGTACATGCAATGTCTAGTCACTTAGACTAGTGGCCACATCGCAACCTGGTCGATAGGATTCGATCTGCACTAAGAAGAATCTGACATACATGACATTGATCATCACCCAGTGATCAATACACCGTAAATAACAATTCATTTTGGTTCTATAACTGGCTAGATATAGTTAGCTTATATTACATCCTGTATTCTTTAAAACTTTTCTCCTTTTGAAACAATCTAAAGAATGTACCCTTATGGTCCATTCACTTGGTGTTGTTTACATGAATCTTCCCATTGTTATTTAGGACTGCAATTGATCAGTCTCTTATATTGGC